TGAATATTCAACTTATGTGCATAGAAAATTACTAACTTAGATTGACTTTAATATTGGTGAGTAGTAATATCAGGTTATAATTTTTTATTAAATACCTTATTTTCTTTTTACACGGTATGTTTTTCCTTTCAACATATCATACAATTACTGTGCACTTTCTGTTGATCCTGAAGCAGTTTCAGATTTCTGGAGCTGTGATGTTAGTGAAAATTATAATAGTCATTGGGCAATCTGAAAGCAGACAAGAAGTGCTTAGAGGAATATTGAGATCAGTTGTCTTCTAAGTGATAGTTCATTTAGCATGCCATCATCCTCTGTATAGTTTTTGGCTTCTGTGAATAAGCATCCAGCTCATGAGATGATTAAATTCACGGTAAGTTTTTAAATCAGTATGCTGGGTTCTATTAGAGTCAATTTTTTATGTTCTACGTTGCAACTATTTTCCCAGATAATTCAGAGTCTAAATTTTTGGGTGCGTAAAGCATGTGAAATCGAGACCAATGCAGTTTCAATTGAAAGAGTTTGTGAATACGCAAAAATGGATAAAGAGGTGAGCATTCTTCCTGAAATGGTGAAAATTCTTCTTGAATATTCAACTTATGTGCATAGAAAATGACTAACTTAGATTGACTATAATATTGGTGAGTGGTAATAGCAGGTTATAATTTGTTATTAAATACCTTATTTTCTTTTTACACAGAGAACAATATGAGCTTCTTCATTACCTTTACAGGCATAGAGTTTTAATCCTATTTTGACCAGTAAATTTCTTGGCAACCTTTTTAGAAACAGTTTTTGTAGCAAGGCTAATACAGCTACAGCTCAGGGGAACTCTCTAGGCTATGTGCAACCAAAAGGAGCATTTTAAGAGGGAAAGATAGGAAAAGAGGTCTGTCAGACCACTAACTGTTACTCACCTGATGTCTGGTGAGACATTTGTTTCAAATTGCCTTGGTTATTGTGCTTTTCTGAGTAGTGCCCATGTCAAGTATGGAGGCATAAGAGCCTCGGGCTGTCTCGGAAAGACTACCCTTCTCCAATGTTTATGTTTCTTAGCCTTTGTTCATCTTTCTGTTCTCTCTTACCATACTTCTTATAACAAAATGTTTCTCATAAAATATGCATTTTAAATATATGGGAGATTAAGTTAGATTGAATTCAGTTCCCGCAGTGAAAAATGCTCCTTATCCAATAACAACATCTCAGGCAGTGATCAATACGAAGCACATTTTATTTAAACATTCTTGCAAGAACGGGTAACCCTGCAAGCAGGCAAACCAGTTCTCAGAGTAATTCCTTTTTATTTCCTATTCCTGAATGAAGTTTCCTTCCCCTGTTTCTTCATTGACTAGGTACCTCAGGGTTACAAACTACTTCAGGGTTTACAAACTACTTCTGTTTGTCCTGCTTGTTGTTTACTTCTCCCCATCACCCCACCTAGACCTTTCACTTCACCTGTTTATTTCTTGCCTTTTTTGGTAATATTGTTCATGTTGGCTCATTTGGTAATATTGCTTATCCTCCCGTTAAACCGCCAATCCAGCATAGACTGTTTTCTCCTTTGTCTAAGGGATGAGCATTCTTGCATGTCTCCTGGTAAGCCCTTGTGTTATTAATCATTCCCTAGCTACCTCACTGCAGACTCACCAAGTTGTTCCTCTGCAAAAACAATATCTAAATTTTTCTTACACTGGCAATTGATGGAACAGACACCGGCAACCCAGTTAAACTGATTTTACTTTTTTTAAATGGGTGTATAAAATGTTGTTAAAGAAAAAACCACAATCCAAAGCCCCTAAGAATACCCAGTTGGAATGTTTCTGCCCAGTGCTCTTGAAAGTAGGTTCTTCTTCCCTTATATTGCATTGGAATTATCCTAAACCTGCTGGAATTTTTGAAGAGATATATCTAATTTTCCTAATGTTTTTATTACTTTGTAACATTTTACTGTCATATACTGAAATACCAATGGTTTTAATTCCAGCAACCATGGATAATGTCAAAAAGACCACCAGTGGGATGGCCCGATAGAGGAATAATAGAGTTTGTTAACTACAAGGCTCAGTACAGGAAGGATCTTGGTTTAGCCCTGAATGATGTCTCTTTTCAGACACAGAGTAAAGAGAAGGTAATGTATATAGTAAGAATAAATCAGAGGTATAAAATTCTGCTTCCCAACTTTCTATTTAAAAAATATTTCATATGAAGAGTCTCCAATACTAGATACAGCAAGGTGCTGTTGAACAGGGAAGATATTAAGTGTGTAAGGCATTACAGAAAAGATAAATGAGAAAAGCAAAATTATTTTGTCCTACTTTGTAGAAATTCTTATCCCTGTAGGAAACTGAGATAGTGTTTTATGAATTTGGCAGTTTTAAGGACAATCCAAATTTGCAATGAAATCTCTTGTCCACTGTGCCGAATATATATGTAGAGAAATATGCTGCCAGATTAGTGCTAATCAACTTTGGGTTTGGGGTCAAGGAACCAAGTGAGACCTAGTTTAGAGTCATTGGTTTGAGCTGAGGAGTGCCGGGCAAAGGGGAGAGGATATGGAAAGGATTCCCACTGAACCAGAAATAGGCTGTGCAGCTTCTGAGGGGGAGCTGTGTGTGTGAGCCATGTCTTCCAAGAGTGAGTTTTAAACAGTTTTATCTACCTATAGGATCCCATGTTGGTGAAAGAAACTGAAGATTTGAACTGAAAGTTGAAACTGAAGTCACAAGTCATTTTTCATACAGAATATGTAGCTTGGATATTATAGTCTGTATCAGAAAACTTTTTGTTTCAGGTTGGAATTGTTGGAAGAACAGGAGCTGGTAAATCAACACTCACAAATTGCTTGTTTAGAGTTCTAGAGGGATCTGAAGGCAAGATAATTATTGATGGAATTGATATATCAACTATTGGACTCCATGACCTACGTGGAAATCTTAACATTATTCCACAGGTGAGATGTGGTTTAGACATAACCATTTTATTCATTTTTTCACTAACACAAGTCACTACTTTTTTTAGAGAAATTATAACCCTGAAGTCCACAGGCTACCAAGGGACAGAGGCATAAAACTCCAACAGAATTTTACTCATCTTTGAAAACTCTGTTATGGCCTATCAGGTTTTAGAAGTGAATTTTTGAGAATCTTAGCTGACATAATGCTACCCTGAAAAATGTCATAACTGCATGTTGGCAATTATATGGAAGAAGCCTCAAACCAGGGAGACTACAAGTATGACATTAGGTTTTATTACGCCAGGTTTAGTTTAATAGTCTTATCTAGAATAACTCATGTTCTCCAGAACCTGTAGGTATATAGCTACATAGGGCTTTTTCAAGTCCCACCTGAAGGCAAAAGTATTTTAAAATAAATCTAACTATGTCTGAAGAATGTAGGGAATAAAGGGATGCATATATAGATCATGTAATGTGCATTTAAATTTATCTGCTATGGTCTGTCATGTAAAGCTGTTCCTGCTTACTTCAGAACAGAGCAGAAAACCAGAAAACTCAAGATTAGTTCACATACCATTAGGATTGTGTTTATGCTGGTAATCTGATTTACAATGAAATGCTCTGATAAAAAGCAAAACCTAGAACACAAATTTAATGGTCACCTGAAGGCTTTTTGCATGTTCCTTGAGTGCCGTTCATAAAACCATTTTTTTGCACGGGTGATGTTGACATCACTTATAATAAATTTATCTGACATTTCCTGAAGGAAGGTCTATTTTTTTTCTAGCTTTGCTGGAGCTTTAACCCTGGTGATATTTCTTGTGTGTCTCTACCACAGACTGTCCATGGAGATGAGGCTAATATCTAAACCAAAATAGCTTAGGTCTTTCCATGAATGAGGTCAACAGAAAAAAATGCGTATATATTTCTTCAAATCCTTGGCTGCTTTTCCTTTGAGAGGTATATTTGCTCAGGGGAATGACAGATTTACAGTTTTTGATATAACTTTTGAGTCAGAAATGACAATTCTAATTTGTTTACACTGCAGGACTTCAAAACACAACAATTCGTACGTTCTCAGTTGTAACCTTTCTCTTGTTTTAAGCAGCTAATACTCTGTGAATCTGCAAAAAGCCTAACAGTTGTAAATTACACAGTATTTTCGCAACTGCAGTTGCAGGTCTGATTTACTGTGGATGGAGTATTTTGGGTCCACATCAAGGCAACTAAATTGAGAGAGGTACACGAAAGTTCAGTGAACTAACAAGCTGGGATCAGATGAGGAAACTAGAACTGGAAGGGTAGAAAAATGGAGACTGGAGCTTGTGGAGAGTATTTGTAGTCTGGATTGTTGAACTGTGTAGGTCGAGATAATGGAACTGGATGAAGATAAAGGTCTGGAACAGAAAAAAGGACATGGCAACATACCAAAGCTTTCAGTGTGCACGTACTTTTTCAGATCAGTCAAATGTATCTCATACAAACAGTTTTTAACAATTGTATTAAATTACAGATTTAAAATTACTTCAATGATGTTCTAATGCAAGTAACGTGAAGTTTAATGAAGAACACGCACAAAATCTCATACCATTCCAGCCATCCTCTTTGGTTGCTTAGCTCCCTCAAAATTATTGCTGTTCTTCTTGCATGTAACTTGCTACTGAATGTTGTTGGCCTTTTACAGACTACCTATGGGGTCACAACCACCGTGCCCACACTTAGTCAAGATGTTTGTTCACTGCCTCTGAAAACATCAGTTCTGTTTATAAATCTGTGCAGGTACTGATATGTTGTCAAGTACTGATTTCTTAAATTTGCCTTTTTAAGCAAAAAACTTTTGTGTCCATCCAAAAAAAAGTGTTTAGACTTAACTAGTGAATGCTTGTTTCTACAGTTTTAATGCTGGACGTGACCCATAGACATTCCTTGCTGTATTCAGTGCACAGAAGCTCATGATACTCATTTGTGCAATAATTGATTTTGTTCTTATTGCTGAATATGCGACCTTTCCTGTTGGAAATTTAGAATATTTGACTTGTAATCATAGTCTTCTAATTTTTCTTAACAGTGCTTATGAATGTAGTATCCAGTGCTTCACAAACTTGACAAAAGTAATAATTCATATGTTGTTGCAATTGCCAGGTGTGGGGCAGGCCTTTAGTCAGTCATAGAACCAGTAGCACAGAGCATGCATAAGAAATCTTTTGCCCTTTATATTTCACCTTAATGAAGAACTGAGCACACTGAGACCCCAACGTGATTTTCGTCTTTTCATCCACCTTATATTTCACCTTAATGAAGAACTGAGCACGCTGAGATTTTCGTCTTTTCATCCACTAGCTTCAAAATGTTACAGTTTCCCTTGCAAAGCTTGATTTCCAGTATTATTTGCCTCAGTTCCCTGTGTTAATGTAAGGATTTATGGCAGACTGTTTCCGTTTGTGTTGGAATTGTGCACTCACATTCTGCTGTTGTTTAGGATCCTGTCTTGTTTTCTGGGACAGTGCAGTCAAACTTGGATCCACTTGGGAAACACTCTGATCTTGAACTGTGGGAGGTACTGGAACTGTGTGACTTAAAGGATTTTGTCCAGTCTCTCCCAAAGAAGCTCCTTCATGAAATTTCAGAAGGTGGTGAAAATCTCAGGTACAAAAACAAGAACGTGCTATTGCAGTTATTTTTCTGGTATTCTAAAACTGTACGTTCCTTCCAGAGGATTTACTTCAGAAATTGTCAGTATAAAAATGACCCTTCTCCCATCATTCTAAATAGAATTAGTCTGGTAATACGAGTTTCTTTGAGGTGGCAAACTGGTCTCAACTGTATAACGTCCTATGGCCTGTGCTGTATGGGAAGCCAAGGAAGTTAGAGTATTTTCAACTCAAGTATATGAGTAGGTATAAATGGCATAGGGGGTGAGGGGGGGTGGAATTCATGCACCACCTAATTCAATTTGGATAGAAAAATGCTAATGTATTGAAATTATAAAAAGACAAAACCAAAACAAAACGAGAACAAACTAAACCCCTCCTTTAATCCTGGAAAGAAGGCAAAACTGCTTATTCTTTTGCTTTATTTGCTTAGGCAAATTAACTCTTGTTTTTTCCCTTGTGAAACATTAACCCATAGCTCAGTCAGGAAGGTGACACTTGAAATAAAAGGACTCTAAGCTCTAGGAGACAAATACTGAAGCTTTCAGCAGAAAAGGAGCAGGTCTTAAATGGAATGTACTGAGTATCAACTTGAATTTTTTTGACATATCATTTTCAGGAAGAAGTGTCTAGAAGGCATACACCACAGCTAACATATAGGAGTATTCAAAATTTTACATTGAACTCTATTAAAAAAATGGTTTAGCATTCAATCTGGCTTATTCAGAGTCCCCATTATAACATGAATATAGAAATTGAAGACAAGACTAGGTATATGCTACAAAGTTCAGGCACAGGTGTTTAAGAGTCACATCTTAACTATAATTGGTATGTTGAGCAAGAAGAAATCAAAACTTCCAAAACAAGGTAAACATATTTCACGAGTCTTCAGAAGTATAAAGTGTTGTTAAAAAAGACAGAATAGATAGGCTCCACAGTAATCAGCTTTATATTGTTCTCCCCTTCCTCAATGTGCCTGACCCAACCTTCTCAAACGTATTTTTAACAGTGTTGGGCAGAGACAGTTGGTCTGCCTGGCCCGTGTCTTGCTACGAAAGACAAAAATCCTGGTCCTAGATGAGGCAACAGCTTCTGTTGACATGGAAACAGATAACTTGGTGCAGTCCACCATCAAAAGAGAGTTTTACAACTGCACAATATTGACTATAGCCCACAGGTTACATACAGTCATGGATTCAGACAGGTAAGTGTGTTTTGGTAAATAAATATTGGTATTTAATAAATAAATGACTTCTCTTAAATGCATCAGTTTTCAGATTCACTAAATTTTACACTCCAACGATTTTTACCTTACTCTCTTTGTATCTGTATCACCTAAGGCATCCCAGACTATCGAAAACCCATGTCTGTTTCCCCATTCTAATTACAGAATTAAATTAATAGTTTTCCTGCTAATGTACAGGTATAAGATACTATTAAGACCACTTCATTCTCTAGAACGCATGGACTTTACTGTAGCATTTTGACCATTTAAGCAAAAATGCCATTTTCAAAAGGTTTTAATACAGGAGTTCCTAGCTTTAGAAACCAGTTGATCACCTAGTGCGATGATATTTCTTCTAAATAAGAGTTATCATTATCCAGAAATATCTGTATTAGGACTGGAAAATATGGTTGAAGAGGTGATTTTTCTTCTCCAGTAATCTTTCTGCTTTTGCCTTGCAGAGTGCTTGTTCTGGACGCAGGAAGGATTCTAGAATACGATACACCACATAATTTATTACAAGGAAAAGGTGCCTTTTCTAAAATGGTTGCAGAGGCTGGAATAAGAAGATGACAGGGAAAACTAATGAATGAATTCTTAATGAAGACAAGAATTCCTTACTCCAGTAAACACTGGAGGGATATTTGGCATACCACATATGTATGGAATATTTTATATTCCATATAAAACAACTAGCTTACTCAAAAACTCCTCTCAGCATTGCTGTTTACTAAACTACAATCTGTATGCGTTGATCAGGTTTCTTAAAATAACTTTCTGATTTTATACAAATCTTAAAATTTTGATCATATTGGCATGGGAACAACATAGTGAAGCAATAATTTTCATGGCATATTTTAACTGTTGCACTGGTAAAGACTGAAAAATAAATCTTGCTCTTCTCACACTGGTTTCAATTGAAAAAACAGTACTTGGTTAAGTTGCTGTGACATTATGCCCATTTAGTTAATACATTCTTATAATTGCAAATTCACAGAAACCCAAAGCTGCTTATTGTGTAGACATAGAGGCAGATGTCACTTGGTGCTGACTTTTAGGACACGCGTGTTTACCAAAGTAAGCCATCTAACAGGCCTAGCACAGGCAGGAGAAGGCAGTTTTGCAGTAAGAGTATCACCCAGAGTCTGCAGCCTCTACTCTCCCCACACACCTGATGTCACGCTCATGCTAAGAAACAGAGGGACCACTTGGCTGCCTCAAGGCCAATGTTAATTCAGGCTTTGCAGTACCCACCACAACCCACCAATGTCACCAGCAAACTCCCTTGACAGCACAGACAAAGCCATGTCACAGCCCTGCAGGCCGATTTAGCGCATACCTCCCCTCTCCTGCGCTGTCTTCTCCAGGCATCAACTCTCCTATGCCTCCAGGGCACTGGGGGATCAGGTCCCAGCCTCAGCCTGTGGGGCTACTCGTAGGCACTCAGCACCTGTGTGTATGGGCTACTAATTGCTGAGACTCCTGAGAAGGTGCTTGGGGCCGTTCTCAGAGGCCTGCCTGACTGGCCAGGTGATCTTCACGTGGTTGGAGATAGTATGAGGCACCCAACTGTTGATCCCTTTGAGGAGCTACTGCTCAGCCTCCTTTTCCAGCTTGGTTGCTTAGGTTAGAAAAAAGAAGGGTGGGAGAGCCAGAGTATCAGGGCAGAGTCTAGAGTGAGTGAGAATAAGGCCCAGAAGAACATCATGACTCTGGTTTTCCTTTTCACAGAGGGAAGTGTGGAGCACAACCTGCTCATGCTCTGCTTCAGCCTCCTTCCTTACAGCATTCAGAATTCCCACAGACAGTGTCTTAGATGCCACTTCCCTCAGACCTGCTTCTAGCCCCCACTCTACACTTTCCTGGCAGTATCACAGGAGAAATGGGGAAGAAATTGAGGGGAAACCCCTCCTTTCCCTCACAGGAACATATACATTTCTGCTTTTTGCCAGCTATAGTTGATTGCTGTCTGTTGGGGGAAGGTCGGACCAGCCTTAGGGTTATCCTGCAGTGGGGCAGCAAAAAGCTTGCAAATGCTCCATAGCATTTTCTCCGGCTCTGTTTCTGGGCAGAAGTAGTCCATGAAAACTCTGGGTTTAAACTGCAGGCTAAAAGATTCATTTCTGAAATACCATCATCGTTCAGGTTCTCTAGACCTTGTATTTCCCAGCCTGAATCCCATGATGACATATGCGTAGAAACCCTCTCACAGCTGGAAATATCAAAAGACAATTTTGGAACCTACTTGGACAAGTGAGAATGTAGCTCAAAAAAGCACCATAACTATGTTTGTTCTTCCCCTGCATCGATCCAGCAGCTGTTGACCAACAGGTGGAAGGATCCTGTGGCACATCCTGTGGTCCAGCAGGCAGGGCACAAGGAACATAAGCATAGGAAGGGTTGGAACTGCTCCCATTCCCTTTGGGAGCAAAGAGTTCACCCTTTGACCAGGGTTTCCCTCCCTGTTGTTTCCTCCTTCCTCCCAAGGATTCCTTGCTTTTCCTCGTACCAACCTGCACTTTCCTTCTCAGTTCTGTTCTTGCACACCAAACTGCAGCTTGAGGATAAAGAGGTTTTTTTCCCCCTCCCACCCTAGTTCCTAACACTCCTCCCAGAGAAGATGCGTCTCTCCAGCGCACAGCAACCCCTTGACAAATTGAGGGATTACAACCTCATCCTCTAACCTCCAAAAGAATTTGAGGAAACAGTACTGTTAGTATTTCCATGTGAAAGTGAAAGAAGACGTGTGCTAGGGACAGAAATTGCTTTTATTAAAAACTTTTTAAAAGGTTATTTATAAAACGCAATTCATCATCTGCACTTGGAAACAATTCGTGAGCATACAATTCGTAACACATTTCATCATTTCAACTCACAGAACAAGCTTTACTCTTTAGAAACTTCTAATACCACAGACAGCCACACTTAGATTTCAAGGGCTGTTTGTAGAAAGATTTCAGCCTTCAAATAGCAATTTGTTTAAAGACAGACTTTTGGAAAGCAGTATTTTATGTAAACTTAGTATTTACAGTATTAAAATCAAAAGATAAAACATAACTTGACTGCAGAATTCAGAAAAGTTATTTAATAAATAAGGTTGCATTGTGAGATATCCAGTGTACAGTAACACCTCTACTCAAAAAAAAAAAAAAAATCTGTATAGAAATCTGAATAAATAGCATTTTTTAATTTTTAATTTTTTTTTTAACAAGTAAACAACTCCCCCTTCCCTTCCAATTCCCAGATTAACACTGAAGGAGACTTAACTCCTCCTGAGCGAAGGAGTACTCAAAAGAAAAAAAAAGATACTTCATTTACTCGCATTGAGTTTAACAGTTTCAAGTTACTCCTACATTCCTACCTAACTTGTCCCAAGACTGCAAAAAGCTTTTCATAATTTCACTTCACTGTGATGCGGTTCTTATTTTTAGACAGCTCTGCTCATTTAACACAGTGCATTTAAAAAAAAAAATTAAAATTTAAGACTAAAGACCTACTGTAACTCCAGTAGGCTTAGAGATGAATTTACAGCAGGGCAGAAGGAAAGGCCACAAAGACTCCAAAGACACTGGAATATATGTTGAATTAAATACATACATTTATATCTGCAAAGCAGAAGCCCAAATAGCAACTGTGCATGAGAGCTGTACTGCATATTGGCATTCATCCACGAATTCACTCAAGAGGCACTTCTTTCAACACAGGAGTTTTAGTTACTGGAAGTTCCGTACAGACTTAGGCAGGGCCACTTTCAAAGAGGTACAGTGGGAAAAAAAAAATATCTTCAAATAAAAAAAAAAAATCACTTTGGTTTTCTACTTAGGGAATTTAAACAGATGTTAGCAGCGTTTTTGGAATCCTCTGTGAAGTTAAACAATGCTGATGGAATGGCTGTGTGCAACTATGCTTCAATTTAAGAGGTTTTTAATTGGATTACTTCAAAGATACATTTAGACAATAGCTATGCCAACAGCTGAATCAGCACAACTGATTTATAGCAGTGCCATAAATCAGGCCTACTGCCAGGAGAATAACATGACTATTTTAATATAGTCATAGGTTAAACAATAAATCTAAGCCCCACATTTTATCTTGGCAAGCTTAATAAAAACATAGTTGTTTTGGAGAATACAAGAAAATGCTTAGAACCACCTGTTACTAGAGTTTACCCGATTAAGACTGGGTTGATGGATGCAGAAGCCAGTCTTCGCTGAATGAAGTGTTTTCATTGTAGAAAGTTCTACACAGATAAAAGAATTCAACTGGCCTTTAAGTATTGACTTAATACTCCAAAGAGACTAGAACTGTCATCAAGTTGGGTTTTTTCCCAAATAATTAATTTTTTTCTCCTCATGCATTTGCTAGACAGGTGGGCAGCAAACTATTTACCTAAAATAAAGTCCTAAGAAGTGCCACCTCAGATCCCGAGTTACACACACTGCTTCCTTCCCAAAAGAACAGCTACGTTCTCTCATCTATGTTCACTTTAGAGTGGGGATATGACAAAACTTAAACCAGAGATGTGAGCTAAAAAGTATGAAAAAGTTGAGTGAATTTTCATTCGCTAGGACTACAGGAACTAGACTGCATCCAGGCAGTCCCTTCTGGCCCACACTCTGTCCCTAGAAACAGTACAGCTTGAGGTGCTCGGGGGGAAAGACATCACACACTCGCAGATGTGCAACGATGACATACGCGTTGGCCAAACGCAAAGGAAGATGTTCAGGTGCGGCTTTAAGACACATAAAATTATGGCAGTTTTGGAATAAGGTGGGGGAGGTATAAGTAGTTGGTGATACGCCCTTGCTCCCTGTGGAAAACACCCGTGGTATGACATCAGCACCTGTACGTTCACCATAAAACCCAGATCAGGAAGTAAGCCCTTGGAGACACGCTAAGGAACTCTGCCTTAGCAAGAGCCAAGCTTCTCAATAGGGTTGGGCTGAAACATGAAACAGTTTGCCATACAGCCTCAGTGATGCCATCATGCTGTTACGAACAGCAGAATAATCAGGTGAGTGCATAAATCTCATTTAAGCTGCAACATGCCTTTTAGAAAGGTGCTTAAATGCTCAAATGACTCAGTTTAATAAATAAATTTAAGCTCAACGCTGCTAGTGCTGTGTGCGTTAATACTGCTTCACATTCTTTCAGAGTAAGTATGTTGGACCTGGGAATATCTACAGTACCGTACGACATTAACACTAACCTTTGGTCACACTCCCTTTGTATTTTAAACATACACCTCTTCAGTATTCGCTAATAAAATTTAGCAAGAAGACATGGGTGTGTCATCACTAGCATTTTCACCCAATATCCAATCAACAAGCAAATACAGGGCACTTCAGAACTTCAAAAATCACTCATACCTTTAAAGTAACATCTGGATTTAATGCAGTTAGGTGTCCAGTAACACCTAACTGGAATAGATAAAAAATGAATAGAATACAGCTAAGATTAGGCTCCACTGCCAGTCAGATAATTATGCACCACCGGAGTACGCTTCTGGAGAGATGGAATGCAATGGGTAAGAGTTTATTTTCAGTTAAAATTAGTCTTCCGTAAATTCCTATTAGGAATTTCTACAGCACTGACTTGAAGAGGCCAGGACCCACCAACAATTCCTGCTTGGACAGCTACCCCCATTACGACTGCTAGATCAGGATCTACAGAGGTGTTAGGTTCCTTTCCAAAGAAATCCTGAATAACTTTGCGTATTTTAGGAATCCGGGTGGAGCCTCCAACTAACACAATTTCATCCACTTCCGCTTTTTGTAGATGGCCTTCCTTCAACACTTGTTCAATGGGCACAAGAATCTTCTCAAAAAGGTCCTCATTTAACATCTCAAATAGCTTCCTAGTGATTTCTGTTTCAAACACAACTTTGACAAAGTTGTTCTCTCCTTTTGAAGTGTCTGCGAGATTTTTTAGATCTTCTGTTTTTGGGGAAGGCTTGCCTTCTAGCAGAGTCTTTGTTTTTACCTCCTTTTCTGGCTGTTCTTTTGTAAGCTTCCTTTCTGGCACAGTCAACGACACTCTCAGTGTAGCTGCCTCAAGAACAGTCAGATTTAATTTAACTGCTTCCACAGCCTGTCTGAGGCGATGTATTTCTTCTTTTCTTGTTGGCAGAGAACCATACGTTTGATGGAGCTGATCATATAAATACAGCATCAACCTCTGATTAAAATCCTGTCCTCCAAGTTTGTTGTTACCTGAAACATCAGAACAGAAAGCATGAGATACATCCTTTTCAAAGCTTCAGAAAGCAGCACACATCTTCTCTTTTACTGGGAGACCGTGCTCAAGGGTCAGAACAGTGATACTAGGACCATCAGCACAGCGCAGGAGCTCACAGAGCTGTTAAAATAGCCATAGTCAGTGTCCATTGAAGAACACACAATGGATATAATTTCCAGGTTTTTATTCAGCAACTATTTTAGAATCTACCCCCCTGGAACTGCTCTACACCACTGTAACAGAAAAAAAGCAATGGTTGTTAACTCAGAGGTATTCTCTATAGAAGAAAACATGTAACGATAAATTTCTAGCTGGAACCTTGAATTGAAACACAATCTCTCACAGCAAATTGCTTTTCCATCTAAAATTTCCATTTTCAAACCTGTCTCTGCCCAGAACGGATTTTTCTTTTAGGCTTTTCCAAAGTACAGCTTTATCAGGATTATTGGTTCAACAGTTTTGAGGTATTCAATGTCTTCATGCTCCATCCACACACAAAAAAATACATGCTACTGAAGTATCTGTATATACCCTGCTGAAAGCGGAAGAAAGTGAATAAATGCAAGCAGCCAACTTCAAGCTCTATTAGCAGGTATATATTATATCCATTCCATAGAGTTAAAAAAATTGGTTGGCAGATTTTCCTCTGTGTTGAGCAATACTCTCAACATTTCCACCGTTTTGTTTCGACTGAAACCAGGAATTCCCTGATGGGGCCTCCATCTAAATGAATCAGAAGGAAGGTGCTGAATACCTCTTGCTGTTCCGCTCTTACTGCACTGAGCAGCAGCTCACACCAAAACTTGTTTGTTGAAGGCAACGCAAACAGTTCACACTGCATCTCAGGCCTGCCTGAACCCAGGTCAGCCAGAAAGCAGTTGTGTACTCACTACGGTTTCACTAAACCTTGCTGCCAGAACCCTTTGCCAAGTGGTGAATCACTTCGGCCCATACATACCACAGAACTTACTGCTGGGCTGACAGCATGTGCATTCCCACCTGGCCAAACGCAAGGCAAGGAGGTGCTACGGCACTAGTCAATGATTTGGCAAGTATTTCCAGTTTGGATAAAGGTAACAGAAAGATTTGTAATAGCCCCAGCTCTCAAAAGTTCAAAGTGATTGTAAGATACACCAGCACTTTTACTGGTTGGCACAAAAATTAACAGCCATGGATAAAATGAAACCACAACTTACTCCTTTGAGTCAGCCATAACCTATAAATTTATCTGAATTATTGAAACCAGTCACAAACCTCATTTTGTATGAAAGGCAGCTGAGAACACATTTGGAGAACACTTTGTGACAAGGCTGGTATCTTTTAAAAAGCCCCTGTAATGGTGAATTTAGGTGTACTTCTCCCTGCCCCCCACTCCTCGAGAAAGTAAAGCATTTTTCTCACCTGCCATGGCTCGTGTGAGGAACAACCCTCCCTGCTTGTTCAACAGAGACACATCCAAAGTTCCTCCACCCAAATCCACCACCAGAACATTAAACACATCGGCTTTGTGGAGTCCATAAGCCATAGCTGCAGCTGTGGGTTCATTGATTACTCGCAAAATTTGTAGCCCTACAAAGAGCAGAGACAGCAAGCAACAGTCAGGTACGCTTCAGAAAACCACAGTTCTCACATCATAATGATATTTACAACTAGTTGGTTGGGGTTTTTTTAGCCAAACTTACCTTAAGTAAAATGTCAGATCTAAAGGAAATAGTTTTCTAGGTAGTAATACTCAATTAACTTTTTTCCTTATTTAAGCCTCAAGTAGTATATTTCAGGGTCAGGGTGAAATCACAAACCATGATTTGCCCAAACACATTTCTTCCAGAGAAACCTTGCTCAGGAGACTTATTTCACATGTTCTATTTCTGTTTAAATTATTGATCAAAGATGCTCTGTACAGTCTTTTTATTTGGAGATTACCAAAAAGACCATTTTCCCTGAAGTAAAACTTACTACTTCTAGCCAAGTATGTCTGCATCAGTCAGCTGCACATATCAGTACCCAAGAGTTCTCTGGTGTGTGTCACAATTGTTAATGGTTTATTAAAAAAAAACAACCCAAAAAGCCACCATTCTAAGATTTGCTATCACTGATTCACTGTTTCTACATCCTCCCCGAAGAGTTCACTGTTAGTGACAGACATGAAGGTTCCACAGAAAAACACTGGAATAAAGAGACATCACCTGCAAGGTGCGCTGCCTTAATGGTAGCATTCCGTTGCCTTTCATCAAATTCTGCTGGCACAGAGATGACCGCCTTTGAAACGCGCATGCCAAGGCTGCCTTCTGCCATTTTCTTCAATTTCAGTAGCAGCTGAGAGCCAATATGCTCTGGAGTGACACGAAAGGCTTCACTAGTTGTCACAGAAAATTCGGCTGATCCATTGTTGTTGAAAATCTACGAGGAAGAAGCAACACAACCCACAGGTGAGAAGTCTTTTTCTTACGCTCTCCCACCCTGCTTCAGCCTAATGTTTTATTTGCATATAGTATGTTGATTCTGGAAAAGCATGAACATTCTTTTGCTACTTCCTGAATTACTTTTATTCCTCAACTATGAGTATTATGCAAAACAAGCCACTTAAGGGGTCCAAGTATATCCAAAGCTGGATATATGGAGAGCTGCGGGGCAGAAAAGGACCTGGGGGTGTTGGTCGACTGGGGGCTGAACACAAGACAGCAGTGTGCCCAGGTGGCCAAGAAGGCCAACAGCATCCTGGCCTGTATCAGGAACAGTGTGGAGAGTAGAACTCAGAAGGTGATCATCCCCTTGTACTGGGCACTGGTGAGGCCTCACCTCAAGTACTGTGTCCAGTTTTGGGTCCCTTACCACAAAAAAGACATTGAGGTGCTGGAGCGGGTCCAGAGAAGGGCAACGAAGCCGGTGAGGGGTCTGGAGCACAAGTCTTATGAGGAGAGGCTGAGGGAGCTGGGGTTGTTCAGCCTGGAGAAGAGGAGGCTGAGGGGAGACCTTATTGTTCTCTACAACTACCTGAAAGGAGGGTGTAGAGAGGTGGGGGTCAGTCTCTCCTCGCAAGTCACAGGTGACAGGACAAGAGGAAATGGCCTCAAGTTGCACCAAGGGAGGTTTGGATTTGATATTAGGAACAATTTTTACACTGAAAAGGTTATTAAGCATTGGAATGGGCTGCCCAGGGAAGTGGGTGAGGCACCATCCCTGGAGGTGTTCAAAAGGCAGGCTGACATAGTTCTTAGAGTCATGGTTTAGTGATGGTTTTTATCAGAGTTAGGTTGATGGTTGGACTAGGTGATCTTAAAGGTCCCTTTCAACCTAGACACTTCTATGATTCTATGAAAGTACTGATACCCACTGTGCCCAGATAAGACACATTAAAAAAAGTTAAGACCTAGCAACTGTGTAATCAACTTCAACACCACATTCAGGGATAAAAGTAATGGTTTATAATTATTAGGTTTATCCTACTGATAAAGCTTCCCACAGGTTCTTCTTTCTGAAAGGAAGCAAACAGCTTGGTACTGGAATAGCTTCTCTTAACAAGTAAAGAATTCAAAGACTGTTTGCTGTACCCGAAAATTTGTCTCTTTTCAGCAAATACTGTACCATGCTAAATTAATGCAGTACTTTTTTAAAAAAAGCAGCTTTCAAGATCTGCTGCTGGTCAAGCAAGAACTAGTAAAGTACTAGGGGAAAAAAAAATGCACTGAAGACATGACTTCTTTTTTTTTAATCTCAAGAAAAAAGTGAAGTTTCAGCAGAGCACAGTTGGAATTTCAGTTGAAATGTATACTTTAAAAAAAGGGGTTGGAAGGTTACCGAGAAACACATTTCACAGTAGAGGGCAGGGTCCTCTAGAAAATCACTATCAGCTCTCACGCAGAGGTATGTGACCTCCACAACTGTTTCCTCCTTCTCCCCTCTCTGAATATCTCTTACGGTTTTCAGGCATATCAGATTTAGCCAAATAACTCAAGGTCAGACAAGGTGGTCCCCTACTACATGCTTACAGCGCCTGATAGCTTACTGCTTGGAGAGAACTGGAGAAGATGGCTACATACCTTAAAGGGATACCTGCTACTTTCACTTTTCAGTTCTTCTGAAGTGAAGATTTTCCCAATGAATCTTTTTGCATCGTATATGGTGTTCTGAGGATTTGAATCAGCCAGTTCTAGGCCATCGTACCCTACATACACACCTTTGTCTGTGAAAGAGACTATACTTGGTATGCTGTTGTGCCCGTTTTCATCTGCAATAACCTTCACCTGCCCTGTTCCAGGAAGAAAGACACCAACTGAGCAGTAAGTCGTGCCAAGGTCAATCCCAATTATTTTTGGTGTGGGCATTGGTAAATATTGCTGGGCTAGATAGCCAGCTAACAAGAGCGCCAGAACAGCCGAACCTGAAACACAGATTTTTAAAAGCAGGGTTAGAGTACCTACTGCTGCAAACTTAAAAGTCAATGCAAATTACACAGTATTATACATTACACCTCATGCAGTTTTATTTCACGTGTGGAAGGCTGTTCGGCTACCTAATTAGTTTTCAGTTTCTCCAAAGGTGACCAGCAAGTTCAAGTCTGTTAATGCAACAAATCGTGGCTAAAAGAGTCTAAAGTCTTGGACATTAAATACTAAACTGATTTTAAAGAAGCCCAAGAGGTACAGCAAAGCCAAAAATATCATCACCCTGTAATAATTCTTTTTCCCTCTGCAGGGTACTTCAAAAATGTAGGCTAATTAGTATTTTGGGGAGTGACGCGCGGAACATACTAGATCCTCTCTTCAGGGGGAACCGCCTGTGAATGACCCCTAAGGGACATCTAATGAGGCTGCACAAAATCACAGTGAAATGACTAACTCCCGATTCAAACACCTCCTTCAGCTTTACTGGAAGTTTAAAATAAGGAGACACAAAATCACGCTAACTCCTTCTATTTCAGTCATAGCTCCCAAAGAGCATCTTCTCACACCTCTGACTCTTTTCTACGCCTTGAAATCAAGGGGTAGATCAGTGTAAGAGCAGAGCAGTGGGGTTTTCTTTTACATTTTACAGATATTCAAAAGGTAAAGCAAGAAGCCCAAAAACGTAACATAAAGCAATGCCTCAGAGGTGGAGAAAAATAAAAAAGAAAGCACCAACCAACAAACAACATCTTAAGAAGAAATTTGAATAGCTTAAGTTTCCAAGCCTGGAGAAGCTCTTTTCCCCAGCAGGGGAGGGCTGTCACAGCCGTGCTGCAGGCAGGCCAGCGAAAAAGAACAGGTTCAACAGATTTGGCCATGCATCTTCCAAGGCGTTTATGGGCAGCAGCCGCTCACCACTCCGGCTGTCCGGACAGTGGGCCGCACAGTGACCCTGCCACCCTGAAGAGCCGCTCCGGGGCGGCCCCGCTGGCAGAGGGCGGGGGCAGAGCCCCGGGCAGCGGCGCCCACCGCTGCAGCCGGGTGACGGGGCGGGTCTGGGCCCCGTCAGACGGAGGCCGCCACCGGCGGGGCGGGAGCTTCCCAGCGCTCCGCCGGCCCCACCGAGGGGACGTCCCCCCTGCCGGCCGAGGGGCGGCCGCGGCCCCTGCGCCCCCGCTTACCCAGCACGGCCACCTGCCCGGCCATCGCCGCCCGCCGGCTCCAGCAGCGCCCGCCAACGACAAACCGCTGACGGCTTCTTCCGGGCCGGGCCGGGCCGCGCGGCACGCCGGGAGCGGTGGTACGGGCGGCGCGCCCGCCCCGCTGACGTGAGCCTGCTGTAGGGGGCGAAAGAACCACTACTCCCAGGGGGCACAGGGGCGCAGCTATTTCCGGCGGGCACCAGCCAATGGAGCTGCAAGAGGAGGTGCCGGGCCGCAGGGGGGGCGGTGCGGCAACCCTGCCCGGCGCATCCGGGCGGGCGGCGGTGCCTGCTGGGAGCGGTAGTTCGGCTGGGGGTGCGGCCGCCATGGCTGCGTGGGGATGGGTGACAGGGACGGTAAGGCCGCCCAGCTTCTCGCCCACCCCTAGCGGCCTCCTCCCCTGGGGCAGGCGGCACGACGCCGTGCTGGGCAGCGAGGGGCCGCGGGGGGGAGGGGGGACGTATCCCGGGCAGTCCCCGCCGCCTCCCACCCGGCTGCCTCCCGCCGGCGAGAGGCGTTAGAGACCGCAGGACCGGCGGTGCCGGGCCCGCCGCGGTGAGGGGCCGGGGCTCCTTCTGGCCCACCTGACGGTTAGCCAAGGGGAGTGATGAGTGATGAGGAAGCCTGCCCCTCCGACGCGGGCGGGAGGTGCAGAGGTAGTCATCAATCGGAGGAGCGGAACGTGAGGCACAACCTGCATGGTCTCCCGGAGCGCTGCCGTGAGGAGCAGCGGGTTTTTGGGTTGTGGCAGGTGGTGTTTCTGCTTCAGGCCGGAATTTATTGTGCCGATCTGGTGTTGCCCTAACGTGGTTTAAGTTAGGTGCTTTTTTAGTAGGAAATGTGCCTAGATGAATGCCCACTAACAAACAGCAATAGTGGAAGAAAAGTTGGGCCAAGGTCTGTTGCAGTTACCATCTCTAGTACCTCTGCTTCTCTGGTATTACCAAACACGTAACCCAAAAGTGACTCCTAGGACCTGACTTCTTCTAAGTGGCTTCCTTATAAAAAAAGCAGCACCACTAACTTAATAATAAAAACCATGCGGTTCATTCTCTGCAAGAGAAGGTGGAAAATCCTTGTTAAGGGAAGAGAGGGTTAAGCCATCCAGCCTTCTTGATGACTCATGGTCTGTTTTTTGATTCCATATCTAACTAATTTCTGTTCCATACATCAGAATTCAATGTTTTAATCACGTTTCTTGACGTGGCACCATCGTAATGGTAGTCATTCTTAAGTTGTTTAAGGGGGGGGGTGGGGAAACTTATTGTTTGCAGTATTTCTTCACTTATGTAACTTAAGCACAAGCACTTTGTATTTTATGCAACTACCAGTGGACGATGAGCAATAAAAAAATAGTGAAAACAAGGCATACGATTAAACTGGCGCTTGCTCATAATTTTGATATTTGATAGCAACCAAATGCTCTAATATACAGGGAGCATCTGAGATGTCATACTGTGGAATAATGCAGATATGTAGGGATGTTTTTTAAAAATACTGATGCAAACCTCATTTCAGAGATTTCATCCTTTTCAAAACATAGGCCAGGCTCTGCTTTTCATTGTGGAGGTTAAAACACTGAAAGATGTTGGGATCTCTTGGTAACATACCTGCTGAAGGACAGAATTCAGATGCCCTTTCCTATGTAGCTTCCATTCTATTTCTTCAAAACAAAGCTGCTTAATGAATTCAGCGTTATCAGTCAAGGCCTCCCCACCTGACTGACTCCCTGGAGGCCTGGCTGTTCCCTGCAGAATTACACAGCACAGGCCACCTGCCTGGGGGTCAAATCAAGGAGAGCATCTCAGCAGGCTTTCTGCCTTGCAGCAAAGGTTGATCATGCCAGAAACTTCTTCAGAAGCCACCTTCCTCCCTGTAGCTGTTTTTGGCTTTTGTGTCATTTGAAGGCTGGATCCATGGTGTGTACTCAGTGGTCCCTTTAAGTCAACATTCGATCTTCAGCACCCATGCTTAAATGAAGCTCAAATGTGCGTAATTTTTTCCCCACATCTTCTCCATGACTTATCAGGACCTGCTCATGGATAATCCCGCGTTCTGCACAGTGATGGCAGGCTTGTCTTGCATCTGAAAAAATTTGCAGGACTAATCCTAGTGAGCTTACCCTTTGGGAGGGATTGGGGGGGGTCATTCCTGGAGTGTCTGTTGTATCAGCATCTTTTACCTACCCTTGCAGAGCTCTTGTCCAGGGGAGTGAGACCTGTTTCCATTTTTCTCCCTTATCTGAGGGGGTGCGACACTCAGAAGTTGGTTTTTCAGGAGCAGAAGGGAAAGTTCAGTATTTCTGGACAAAATTGCTTGATTTTGCACAGATCATAATAAAGTATTAATTGGCCAATAGAGGGAGAGGCTTATTTGGCTGGGAGGTGAAAGCTATGGGTAACCCCTGCCCCATGGACTACCTCGTGGGGAATATGTAGGCATGGGTAGGAGCAGACACTGGGCAGCAGGTTGTTTTTTCCTGAAGTGACATGCTTTGGCCTCTTCCCTGTAACAGCAGGCGAGATGTCTGCTGCTGTGTTGAACATCCTCACCTGCGGGTGGGCAATGCAAGTTCAGACCCATACAGCTCCTGTGAAAAATCCCATTACTGTGATAAAGCTTCCCTGGATGTAGCTGAAGGAGGGTGAACGAGGTGCTGTGTTGACATGGGCTGCAAGAACTGAACATCTTCCAGTATGTGCTGGTTTGGATACCTGGGCTATGCTGGCTGTGCAGCGTCTACCGGCCTGTGGCAACCACACACCTGGCCCTTGACGCCCACCTGCAGCTGACTTGAGTGGAGGGTGGGCATGCAGCTAACTCCCTCTGAGGGTCTGGGCCAACTGCTTGTTTATCCTTACTACTGCATCTATTTACTCTGGTAGTAAGTTGTTTATAACATTTCAAAAGGTTTTAAGGGATTATTTTCCTTCACATGCCTGTTGTTTTCCCCCAGTGCTTTGATAGGTGGAGGTAAACATGTTTTTGTCTGCAAGTGGCTTGAGGGAGAGAGTTGTTCTTACAATGTAGGAACAGAGACTGGTTTTAAAACAGTCTTCCATCAGGTGTGAACCAGTGTCTGCAGGAAGGAACCTGCTACATGGGGGAGAATCGCTCAAACCATAGACCTGTGATGTGCTAAACACAGTTCAAGCATTTGGTGTGCATGGAATCAAATATCGTTTTCATCTGTAGGATGCTTTACGTCGGCTGTATACCTGCACTGGGAGAAAAGGGAACTGAATTTGAAAAAAAAAAAAGGAAGAAACCCCTGAATTTTTCTGCTGTTGTACCAAACAGGGCTTCCTTCTCCTAGGGTTTACTCAGTGAGTGTTTTCTGCACTCAGTCATTTTCAAGACAGTGCCTAAAACTGTAACCCAGGGTGTCGGTATGTGGTCAAATCAAGGCGTGATCCCAGCAACCCGGTGTGATTGAACTGTGTTTTCCCACTGTGAATGAGGAAAGGGGAGAGGGATTTGAGTAAAATCCTTAGGTGGAGCGTGTAGTCAATGTCTCCGTGCGAAGGGAGGCAATTTATTTAGATGCTAAAATCTGAAACCTTATTTTCAGTTTTTAATTTAGGTAAAAGTAGGTTCTTAGCCTTAGTGTAATCACATCATCAAAATTACAGAGAACTTCACTAATAGTTCCTTTCCATAATTAAAACATTGATCTTCTGCTGTATACGGTTGGGAAAGGGAAGGATTTCAGCAGTGCCCAGTCTTTCTCTGACAGACAGTTCAATGTCAGGCAGCTGGAAGAGAAGTATAACCTTCAATTTAGATGCAAAAGTTTCCATTTAAATGCCGGTGTAGAGATTTCTGGCTCCCGTTGAGTGGCTGACTGGCCATCTCCAGGCAGGTGTGCGCTGAATTCCTCATCAGCCAGGAACCCTCTCCCCAGCCGGAGGCAGCAGGAGCAGCTTGGGGCTGCTCGGGGGCTTCGGAGCCCCAGAGAGCTGAAGAGCTGAACCAGGAGGTGTGGGACAAGTGCGAGAAGCTTCCAGCAGATGTCTCTGCCATGCAGCGTTGCTTCCCTGGGCCGCTTTCCCTCTTCTGACAGATACCTGCAGATTCATATAGAACATATGAACTTTTTGCAGTCGTTATCCAAATTCTTGTAAAGGCATAAGTCATGAAAACGGCGCCTCGTTTTTCACTATGGTTTATTTAATTGCCTTAACATGGCAATTTCACTGAACCCTCATAAAATCATTCCGAGGTTAACAATGAAATTACTATTTCCCCTTTCATGAGTATAGTTGCAGTGATAACAGTGTAACGTAACCCCCTAGATGTCCAGGAAAAACATTCTGGAAGAGAAATGAGATTTTCACAGGTCTCTCTCCCACTTCTCTACTTGAATTTCGGTTGGTCTGCGTGCTGATACAGCTTGCTGTGGTGTCAAAGCTAAAGCAGAGGCCTTTTACTGAAGAGGCAAAGCAGGTTTGGCACTTACTGGTATGGTAACTGGGGGTTTCTTTTCCTGCTTCACCCAAGTGCCATCTTGGGTAGGTGTTGCAGGGCCAATGGCTGAACAGCAATGGTGAGACTGGCTGAATTCTCCTCAGCCACCAGCAGCCTGAGTTAGTGGCGCTGAATCATGTCTTGGCTTGGATTCGTGCTGATGTCTGGACCACATCATCCACCTTCTGCTCAGCTGGGGTGTCCTGTGTGGAAGGAGACAGAATGATACTGCAGTAACTCCGGGGGTGACAGGAAAACTGATTGCTTGTACAACCATTTGGTGACAGCGAGGTGCCGCAAAGTGCCACCTACAGCACAAGGAGGATGATGTGGCTGGGAGTCTCATCATCTGCATGAATCATGATAGTGATAATGATAATGAACAAGAGACCCAACAGTCTCCCAGGAGGCCATTTTCTCATTCACGTTGTTGCTGTGTATATGAAATCCATGCAGATGTCAGTCAGCCTTGTCAATTTTATCTATTAGGAATGACAACAAAAGGATAAACAGACGAATGCACTCAAATATAGCTGCCTTAACAGTGAGCTCCCACGGCAAAGGAGAAGAGATTTTGCAATATGTGT